AATCAGCGCGGTCGATCCAAGCAGCGGTCATTCTTAGGCAGGGGATTTGAACGACCATCGCTTAGATGGCGTGACTATAGCAACTCTCCCCTCATAGCTTCGGCATCATTGCTGAAGCTTTCCACTTGTACGATGGGAGAGAGAGAGTTTAGTGCACGCTGGACGGTTTTATTTTTACACTTGATCATTGCTGATCTTGCAATATTGTCGTCGCCCATAACTAAGCTTTGTATTATTGCGACTGGCCAGCTTCCTTTTTTCGCATTGATGTCTTTTACCAATACGACGTCGCCTATTCTGAAATTGTTTCCATCCGAATGCCATTTTTGTCTTAAGTTTAATTTTGGTAGGTAATCTTGAGACAATTTTTTCCAAACACTGTTCAAGTACTTCATTAAGTATAAGTATCTCTTTTGATGGTCTTTGGATATGGAGTTCGGACATACGATTTCAGATGTGATTTGGCTACCTATTATGAAATGAGCGGGTGTTAGTACCGTTTCCATGCCATCTGAGGAGACATAGGTCAACGGTCTGTTGTTTAACATCCGAGTGATTTCAGTTGTCAAGGTGGCCAACTCTTCATCATTTAAAAGTATATTTATGCTGGGGATACTTTTAAAGATTGCCTTTTTTATTAGTTTCATGAAAATTTCAAAATGTCCACCAAACCATGCTGCTTTCGGAGGGTTGAAAGTCCAGTTGATGTTCTTATCAGTAAATTGAACTTTCAACTCTTCCAGTTGTCTGGCCATTTCCAGAAAGTTCGCTGCATTGTCAGTGTTTACGATGTTTGGCGTGCCAAATTTCGCTTGAAATCTTATGAAAGCTAATACCGTTGATTTTGTTGACTTATCAACGGTTATCTCAATGTGTACAGCTCTTGTGATCATGCATACAAATACGAGGAAATATCGGATTTCTATCATATCACCGTTGTTTACGTGTAGCGCCGCCATGTTGTCGATTCCAACATGGGCAAATGGCGTTAGACGTAAGCTGCTGTTAGGGACTCGAGAAGATGGTAGGGGTCCCATCTTCCTTGTTGTAGTTACTGCATTTTTTAATTTGCAATAATTACAATTTTTTATCAAGTCTTTACACATTGGGAGACCTCCTATTATGTGATACTTTTGTTTCGCTTGATTTGCAAGGTATTGAAAGCTGCCATAATGTCGATTTTCTATATGAAGATCATATATTATGGCCCTTGCCACAAGCGAATTTTTACCTAGTATCACTGGGGCTCGAATCTCCTCGGATAGGAATCTTGTTGTTTGGAGTCTTCCAAACATCTTGACTATTCCATTTTGGTCAAATCGAGGACTTAACCTTAGGATATTTGAGTCCATTGGAAACTTCTTCGGTAGTCTCAAGCCTCTTTGCACATCACTAAGACTGTTGGTTTGGTCTTCTCTTAGTAATATAGTTCGGGCTTTTTTCAATTCAGATGGTTTAAAATAGAAGAAACTTACTTTTGGTAAATTTTTTCTAACCTTCTTACTTGGACTAGAAGTTTTAGTTTTTGACCTGCAGAGGTCACAAAATCGTAAACAATATCCTACAATTCTTGTCATCTTTTTAAACGACTTTTGTTTTACCATTAACTGGTATAAAAGTGGTTCTTGTTGACAAGAGTATGTAATCATATTTGTCATATGACTTAATTGTTTACTTGTCTCTTTGACCAAAGCTTCCGTTTCTTCAGTAAAAGAGTTCCAGGTGTTCATGTTGTCTTTCAGGAATGCTGGACCTTCCTTCCAGAGTCCACTCTGATTTAATTTCTTGACTGAGATTCCTCTCGTTGCAAGATCAGCTGGATTTATCGAAGTTTTTACATATCTCCATTGGAAACTTTTGCTTTTCCTCAAGATGTAAAAAATCCGATTTTCAACATAAATATCTGGAAATTTCTCTCGATGTATCCACCAGAGAACGGTTTTACTGTCCCCCCAGTAAAACAAATCGTTTGAGTCAATACCGTACCATGAAGCAAAAATTGTCCCCCATTTCGCTGCTATTTTGGCTGCTTCCAGCTCAGCACGTGGGGTAGATGGTTTTTGTTTTATGGGTACTACTTTGGCTTTGCAAAAAATTAATCTTGTGCTGACAAAGTTTTCGTATTCGACTCTCATGTACAACACACAGGCATAGGCGGACAAGGAAGAATCTGCAAATACATGTATTTGTCTTGATTTTGCCGTTGACTGAGAGAAAGCATCTTCCAAGCAACGGTCTATTTCAAATTCCGCCAAGTTGTCTGTCTGTTGTAGCCAATTTAGCCATTCTGGATGCAATTCTTCGGGAATTGGATCCTTCCAATCAACTTTAAAATTCCAGATCTTCTGAAACAGAATTCTGGCTTTTATAGTGAATGGGGCTAAAAAGGACAGTGGATCAAACAAGGAAGCGATGACGCTTAACATTTGAGCCTTCGTGTAGTTTGTCTTATCTCGGTTATAATTGAATCGGAACGTAAAAATGTCCTTTTCAGCTATATATATAAGACCAAGTACACGAATGATAGGCAATGGAGAATCCATCATCGATTTATCAGTCAATTCTATATTTGGTGCTCTTTGATCAGGATCAAGGGTCGCCATAATTGACTTACTGTTGGAGGCAAATTTGCGAATTTGCATCCCGACAGTCTTATAAATCTCTTTTAGATTTTGGATTAGCTCCAGTGCTATTTTTTCGTCGTCCACGCTTGTCAATACATCATCAACGATGGTACTTTCAAGCATGGCCTTTGCCGCGATCGGATAGGTATCAATATGTCTTCGAGCTGCAGCTTTAGTGCATTCGATGCATATGAATGGAGACGATTTCAATCCAAAAGTATGTCTTGTGGATTGATATATTTGTGGCTGTTGACCAGTCGACGGTCTCCATATCATACGAACATATTTTCTATCTTCGGGCTTCAATAAGACTTGCAAAAACATGAGCTTAACATCACCAGTTACTGTTACTTTCTTTAATCGAAAGTTCGCCAGTACAGTGACAACGTCGCACATATTTTTTCTCCCCTGTAGCAAAGCATCATTAATAGCTTTGCCATTGAATCTTGCTTTTGCATCAAAGACAACTCTCACCTTGGTGGTAGTTTTGTCTTCTCTGACGACGGGGAAGTGGGGTACATAGTTGACGTTCTTTTCAGCTTTTGCTTGGCGAAAAGAAATGTTAAGTCTTTCCCAGTACCCCAACTCAATGGTCTCATTCATTGATTTTTCGTATTGGACTTGAATTTTAGGATTTCTTTTGAAGTGATTTTCAAGAGAAAACATTCTTTTAATTGCAAGTTCAAAGTTATTTTCGAGATGAGGTTCACCTTTTTTCCAGAGTAAGCCATATTGCATATGACCGTCGACCCTAGTTTCGGATTCGCTCCAAACTTGGTCGGCGTGTATTTCCTCTGGAGAAAGTTTCGCTTCAAATTCTTTATTGTCGGTCTCGTATCTTTCGATGTCCCACATCTTTACAAGACCGGCTTTAATTGTCTCGAAATTCCAGTCGGCTTCATCTATGTCAATGAAATAATTTATTTCATTGGCACTTAAAAGCGATTTATTTTCAAACCTGCTTTTTGAAGTCATTGGTCCATATATACACCATCCAAGTTTATACAGTCTCGCAAAGGGTTGGTTAAATGAACCTTCTCTTTCTTCGAGACTTAATTGAAGACTTGGATCGTCGTTTCCAATAATTAAAGTAACCGCTTCCGGAAGGAAATTGGCTACTTCAATATCAGTTGTATGCTTAAATTTGCTTTTAAGCTTGTGCCATGATGGAGGGGTAATTTTTCCAGCTGGTTCAGGAAAGCACTGAACATCAATTAGTCTGGAGAAATTTGGATCTGTTACATTTCTAACTATCAGTTTGGAGATTAAGCCTTGCTGATATGATGTAACTACACCCCCTACACCGTTGATGGCGAAAGGTACTTTGTCGCCTTCCAAGTTCAGGTCTCTGGCACACTTCAGATCGAAAGAATTTCGATCTGCTCCAGAGTCCATCATAGCATTAAGAAAACGTTTTTTGCCAGTAGTAGGATTTTCCACTTCCACTACTATAAAGTGCAAAGATGTTTTCTTAATGTTGTTCTTGGAATAGCGGTTAAAGCACCTATTTGCATTTGATAAAAAGGCGGTTAGTCAATCCTGATGGGTTACCCCATCAGGATCAGCTTCCAAGTCTGAGTCGGAAGTTTCACCTTCTGTATCATATTCTTCGGCCTCCATCGCAACGAATGCCTTCACATTCTGGACTTTACCATTCACGTCTCTGTGGAGACGTGGGTGGTGGTCTCGGCCGCAAAAACATTTCTTTGCTTCAGTGCAAGCTGAAGCTAAATGCCCCTTCTTAAGGCAGGAGAAGCATAGTTGATTCGTTCGAATCAAACGCATTCTCTCCTTAATAGGTGCTTTAAGAAATGTTTTACAATTTTCAACTAAATGTCCATCTTTTGAACAGATCGAACATTTAATTGAAGTGTCAGCCACAAAAATGTCCCCGAAGGTTGTCTTTTTACTGGCTGATCTTTGACCTGATGAAACCTGAGTTGAAGGTTGGAAGTTAGATTTTCGGTCGGAAAATCGAGTCTCTCCCCTCAATGACAGTCTCATCTGTCCCGCTCGGAGCGATAAAACGTCTTGAAGCTTATCGTCCACCCAGTTCCGGAAGTTGGAAGCGTTAACTTCAACTCCCGTCAGTCTGGCATGGGCTTGAAACTTCAAGACTATGTCTTCATCGAATTTGTTGGAAACGATGCTGTAGACAAGTTTATCGTCATGTCCGAATTTCAACATTTTGGCATGATTTACAAACTCGTCGAACGTTCTTACGAACAATTCAACATTGTTGGTTTGCTTCAAATTGCCAACGTAAGGAGCTTTCGTAAGATTGCTCCAGACCACGTTGTACAACTTTGACTCATCGCCAAAATCCTTTTCGAGGTTGTTAAGCCTCGCTACATATCCGTCAGCAGAATATGCTTGACCCCGGGAAATTTTGACGAAAACCTCGTCGGGTAACATATTGCTCAACGCAGTAATTTTGCGTGCTGCTGACTCATTGACTTTATAGTGAACTGTTTCGAGAAACGAAGCTCTCCAGTTCATATAGTCACGGATATCTCCCGAAAACCTTAAAATTGCATTCGCCTTTTGAAGATTGTTTATATCAATCGCCAAATGGCTGGATAACGGCTTTATCGGCAATTTCCATGCTTTCGGTAGTTGTAAACCATAAAGATCACAAGCAGGGGGAAAGGGCGTTTCTCGTTGAAACGTCCCCCCTCGTCTGAAATCGAATGGAGTCGATCTGAGACCAGGAATCCCTGCTTGAACTCGCGATTTAAATTGGGGCTCCGGGTTAATTTGTCTGCTGCCAACATCAGTATTTCTTTGGTTCAAAAGAGCTTGAACCTGTGGTGTTAAAGCATCAGGAGTTGAAGTAGTATGTGGATTTTGAAGCAACGCTTCATCTAAATCGAATTCTACTTCGTCATTTAACCTTTGAGTTTCCAAATCCGGTTCTTCATGATTTGTTTGATGAATGGGATGTCTAGTTATCTTCCCCAATTCGCGAATGGAATCGCGCAATTTGGAGACTTGATTTAGACATCTCGAACTGTTATGGAGAGTGGAACCAGTCTTCTTATTAGAAGATTTGGTTCTTACTTCCTCGACAATATCTTCAAGAGATATCACAATATGGAGTAATGGTGGTCCATATGAAACGAAATCTTCGTTCCAGGAGGATTGGATCACCATCACATTTCTGTCAAGATCGTCCACTAGTTCCTTAGCTTGCTTAAGTTTTTCGTCGATATTCTCGACTAACTTAATGGGCTCAACTAGTCTGCCGATCTCAGCAATGGAGTATGAAGCGAATGGAGCCTTAAAGTTGTAAGGAGTAAACGCATCTTCGACGTTGGAAAGAGGTCCTTTCTCTTGGGTGTTGGATGCGTCATCATTTCCATTCCTCTCGCTATTATGGACGGACATCTTGAAGAGGATGACTTGGCTCCGTTTATCTTAGAAACCGGGTTAAGTTGCCTTAACCGTTGGGCTCCAGATGTTGAGAACTATCAGGTCTTGCGACACTGAATCGTTGCTCTCAAATGGACCGCTATACCGAGCGGAAAATACCAAGTTCTGTACCAATGAAGATGTAGTCTGGAGACAGGGTTTGGACGGATATAAGGCGCAAGCGCTGTTATATTTCTTGTCCAAAAAAAAGGGTTGGCAAAAAAATGGACCTGGCGCTTCCTCAGATCTGTCTATCTCCAAGGAGAAGACTTTGACCCTCAAAAGCTGTAGGAGGAAGTTCAGTTGTAATCACAACTTAATCTCCCTGTTCTGCCTTGTCAGTTGTTGTAGAGAAGCACTTTTGTCACCAAAAGAAATAGCCAAAACACAATCGATCACTTGGCCAATATCAAGATATTGGAGAAGCCTAAGTCTCAAACTCGGAGATCCCGAAACGTATGACACACATGTCTGTTGGGAACCAAGTTTGAAACAATACTGACAAGACAAGAGAAAGTACTGGTTTAAATTGCGAGAGACAAAAAGAGAAAAAATTGAGTAAAAAATTAGCCTTGCGCAACGTCGAAGTGACGTCATTCGCAGCAGCTAATTATAACGTCACTCTTTTTCTCTTTTAACAGTCCCCCTGCAATTTAAATACTTTGTTAGTTTGAATTGCAACCGCATGACCTGATAAAGGAGCTTAACGTGGGGCTAAACACCTTCGAAGTAGGTTATACGGTTGTGCATGCAGACAAAATCGAATATTTTAGTCGTTGAAATTTACGAAATTTTGACTTAAAAAATTTTGTAAAATCGCAACAATAATATAGATAATTTTGAATTTGCATGAAGAATAATTCCCCCCTCAATTTTTGGAATTGCTGGGTCGCGGGACTAAGAACGGGGAAGGTGGCGGGTAAGTATAGCGATCTCCGCTGTAGCTAAAGCGGCTCGGCGTTGAAATTCGCCGGCTGCTTCTTTGATCACCTCCTTACGAGCGTGAAGTTTTTTGATGTCTTCCTCCAGTTTGGCGTGCTCGCTTTGAAGGCGACCGGCGATCTCCGCATCCGACACCGCCTCCTTCTCCTTCCGCTTGATTAGGTCCGCGATGCCGTCCACCTTCGGGGCTTTCGACACCGGGCCCTTGGATGGTGAGCGAATTTCCCGTTTCCCTTTCCTGTCGACTTTTTTGTCCCTTTTTGTGGACGTGGAGCGTCCTCTTGGTTCATTTCGACTTTTCTTTTTCAGGTTTTCACCCGACGGGACGGTGTTAGAAGTCGAAGGCGGGACAAGAGAGTTCGAGGACGGGAGGGAATTAGAAGAAGGGGGGATGAGACCAGAGGGGAAAGCCGGGACACATCCAGAAGAATGAGAGGTCGGGACGAGGAACGGGGAAGTGGACAGGTTTTGGGCGGCTTTTAAAGCTTCGACGGCTTGGACGACACCGCCCTGCAAGGGGAGCATCTTCAGAATCTCTGAAAGAGCTTGAAAAGAAGCGGGATCCAAGGAGATGGAGGGCTCTTCTTCGTAATCGTTCTGGAGTCCCAGAGGATCCTTTTCGTTCCGTGGATTTTCGGAAGTTCCGTCATGGTTGGCTCCAGAACCGGTGAAGTAGCCGCCGTTCGAATACTGGACAGGAGGTTGGAGTTGTCCAGGAAGAGGAGCTTGGGGAGGAATAGGAACCTCTCTCGGGGCCTGGTTGAGGACTTTGATGGCATCCGTGTCCTCCTGGTGCACCACGGCTTTGGTGGAAGCTTTTGCCGGGCGGTCAACGTCCATCGGAATATCTTTTGTTGTCACCTTCTTGTTCTTTTTGTCCCCTGAAATGGACACCCAGGGGTTAATAGAGGTTTTAACGGGACGCGGAAACATTTCGTCGTAATGTTTTATCGCGGCTTTTACCACGGAAGCGACCCCGTTAATTTGAAGCAGACTTTTCCTATGTTTCTCACTTATTTTCAGATTGTGACACATCACTTTGGTAAACCAAAGCACAGCCAGAGAACCCGAAAGACAAGATGAGAAGAGAAAGTTCCGGAGGAATTCATCGCGCCGTTTAAGTTGCACGAAGAGTGGGCTTCGTGCAGCTTTCCGATAGAAGTTTGGATCGGTACGCGAGAGCTTAGAATCCTCATCGTTGGTCGGGATTAAAGAAAATGCCCTTCTCTTGAAGAAGATGGCCGCATCGTTATTGTCGAAATAACGAGGTGCATCCCCCATTTCCTTTAAGCTTAAACCGTATTTCCATAAGTGTCTGAGACAAAATTTGTATTTCAAAATTAGGTTCAATCCATGGCGAACGATACTCTCATCTGTATGTTGATCGGTCACAACCTTGACAATTGTGGTATCGGACAACAGAGGCATCAAGTGGCTAATAGCGGTTCCCAAGTCATCGGTTCGGGCGGATTCCTTCAACGAAGCCATATCCAACGCAAACACCTTGGGGTTCCTAACCATTCCTATCAAAAGATATCGGTCAAATTTACCGTCGGCGATGAAGGTGATGTATAGAACATCGTCGTCATCGGTGGCATCACGAACTACGGTAGCCATAGTTCGAAGTTGATTGCCGTTGACGATAAATTCTACCTTTTGATTTTTAATGAAACGTTTGGCATTGCAGACATTCAGGGTAACCTTCGACTCGTACCCGATCCAGATATCGCTTTCGGTGGAGCTAGCACCAGGGATGCTTATTGCTTCCAAAAGCTTATTCGTGACAATGGGTGAATCGAACACGGTTTTCGAAGAATGGGAATTCGGCTTTGAGAAGATGCCCGATTTTCCCAAAGCCGCGGGCAACTGTTTATTTTCTTGAACTTGGAATGACCTACCTGCCATATTGGCGTTCAAGAGAGAGATGTGACGGACGAGAACAAGACGAAACACGTAAACCGGATCGATCCTTGACACAGAAACCAAGAGGAGAAGATCAGGAGTTTCGAAAGGACTCGACACGAATGTAAGGTTAAAGCGAAAGGGGACCTCCTTATATAGACGTTGGGAGGGTTCGTTTCTCCGGATCGATTTGACCAATAAAAATCGAGAACCAGTAAATCGCAGGCGATTTTCTTACGCTTTAAAGTAATTGCTACATAAGATTAACCCGCTGAGAGTTCGCGCCAAAAATCGGGAACCCAAGCGAGCAAAAGACCACGCCCTTTTGCTCGTTTTGCAAGTAAAGCATGTAGGCGACCGCTTAAGCCAGCTGGTTATCTTGGGCGCCAAGCTGTCTGAAGCGACCGTAAGGAACATAATCAAATTTGTCTCCTTCTGTCTACGAGCGCTCCTTCCCTGTGATGCGCTAAGATCAAAGGCGCCGCAGCGAGGCGGCGCCTTTGATGGC